GTGTGTGCAGTAACAGTGTCTCTGTGTGTGTGTGCAGTAACAGTGTGTGTATGTGTGTGTGTGCAGTAACAGTGTCTGTGTGTGTGCAGTAACAGTGTGTGTGTGTGCAGTAACAGTGTCTGTGTGTGTGTGTGCAGTAACAGTGTCTGTGTGTGTGTGTGCGTGCAGTAACAGTGTCTGTGTGTGTGTGTGTGTGTGCAGTAACAGTGTCTGTGTGTGTGTGTGCAGTAACAGTGTCTGTGTGTGTGTGTGTGCAGTAACAGTGTCTCTGTGTGTGTGTGCAGTAACAGTGTGTGTATGTGTGTGTGTGCAGTAACAGTGTCTGTGTGTGTGCAGTAACAGTGTGTGTGTGTGCAGTAACAGTGTCTGTGTGTGTGTGTGCAGTAACAGTGTCTGTGTGTGTGTGTGCGTGCAGTAACAGTGTCTGTGTGTGTGTGTGTGTGTGCAGTAACAGTGTCTGTGTGTGTGCAGTAACAGTGTCTGTGTGTGTGTGTGTGTGTGTGCAGTAACAGTGTCTGTGTGTGTGTGTGTGTGTGCAGTAACAGTGTCTGTGTGTGTGTGTGTGTGTGTGCAGTAACAGTGTCTGTGTGTGTGTGTGCAGTAACAGTGTCTGTGTGTGTGTGTGCAGTAACAGTGTCTGTGTGTGTGTGTGCAGTAACAGTGTCTGTGTGTGTGTGTGCAGTAACAGTGTCTGTGTGTGTGTGTGCAGTAACAGTGTGTGTGTGTGTGTGCGCAGTAACAGTGTCTGTGTGTGTGTGTGTGCAGTAACAGTGTCTGTGTGTGTGCAGCAACAGTGTCTGTGTGTGTGTGTGCAGTAACAGTGTCTGTGTGTGTGTGTGCAGTAACAGTGTCTGTGTGTGTGTGTGCAGTAACAGTGTCTGTGTGTGTGTGTGCAGTAACAGTGTCTGTGTGTGTTAGTGTGGACTATAGCATGCACTACTACGAGTTCACGGGCGTCAGCAGCTGCTGGGACGTGGTGAATCTGTACCGTCTGATGTGGGCTTGTGTGACGCTCAACGTTCTCGGTGTGTTTCTGGGAATCATCACCGCTGCCGTACTGGGAGCCTTCAAAGACCTGGCGAGTCTTCATGACATTCACGATTCAGTTTCATAACATTCACGATTCAGTTTCATAACATTCACGATTCAGTGTCATAACATTCACGATTCAGTGTTATAACATTCACGATTCAGTGTTATAACATTCACGATTCAGTGTTATAACATTCACAATTCAGTTTCATAACATTCACAATTCAGTTTCATAACATTCACAATTCAGTTTCATAACATTCACAATTCAGTGTCATAACATTCACGATTCAGTTTCATAACATTCACAATTCAGTTTCATAACATTCACAATTCAGTGTCATAACATTCACAATTCAGTTTCATAACATTCACAATTCAGTGTCATAACATTCACAATTCAGTGTCATAACATTCACAATTCAGTTTCATAACATTCACGATTCAGTGTTATAACATTCACGATTCAGTGTCATAACATTCACGATTCAGTGTCATAACATTCACGATTCAGTGTCATAACATTCACGATTCAGTGTCAACATTCACAATTCAGTGTTATAACATTCACGATTCAGTGTTATAACATTCACGATTCAGTTTCATAACATTCACGATTCAGTGTCATAACATTCATGATTCAGTGTCATAACATTCACGATTCAGTGTCATAACATTCATGATTCAGTGTCATAACATTCACAATTCAGTGTCATAACATTCACGATTCAGTGTCATAACATTCATGATTCAGGATCATAACATTCACGATTCAGGATCATAACATTCACAATTCAGTCTCATAACATTCACGATTCAGTTTCATAACATTCACGATTCAGTGTTATAACATTCACGATTCAGTTTCATAACATTCACGATTCAGTGTCATAACATTCACGATTCAGTGTCATAACATTCACGATTCAGTGTTATAACATTCACAATTCAGTTTCATAACATTCACAATTCAGTTTCATAACATTCACAATTCAGTTTCATAACATTCACAATTCAGTTTCATAACATTCACAATTCAGTTTCATAACATTCACGATTCAGTGTTATAACATTCACGATTCAGTGTTATAACATTCACGATTCAGTGTTATAACATTCACAATTCAGTTTCATAACATTCACAATTCAGTTTCATAACATTCACAATTCAGTTTCATAACATTCACAATTCAGTTTCATAACATTCACAATTCAGTTTCATAACATTCACGATTCAGTGTTATAACATTCACAATTCAGTTTCACAACATTCACAATTCAGTTTCATAACATTCACAATTCAGTGTTATAACATTCACGATTCAGTGTTATAACATTCACAATTCAGTTTCATAACATTCACAATTCAGTTTCATAACATTCACAATTCAGTTTCATAACATTCACGATTCAGTTTCATAACATTCACGATTCAGTGTTATAACATTCACGATTCAGTCTCATAACATTCACGATTCAGTTTCATAACATTCACGATTCAGTGTTATAACATTCACGATTCAGTTTCATAACATTCACGATTCAGTGTCATAACATTCACGATTCAGTGTCATAACATTCACGATTCAGTGTTATAACATTCACAATTCAGTTTCATAACATTCACAATTCAGTTTCATAACATTCACAATTCAGTTTCATAACATTCACAATTCAGTTTCATAACATTCACAATTCAGTTTCATAACATTCACGATTCAGTGTTATAACATTCACGATTCAGTGTCATTACATTCACAATTCAGTGTCATAACATTCACAATTCAGTGTCATAACATTCACGATTCAGTGTTATAACATTCACGATTCAGTGTCATAACATTCACAATTCAGTTTCATAACATTCACAATTCAGTTTCATAACATTCACAATTCAGTTTCATAACATTCACAATTCAGTTTCATAACATTCACGATTCAGTGTTATAACATTCACAATTCAGTGTTATAACATTCACAATTCAGTGTCATAACATTCACAATTCAGTGTCATAACATTCACGATTCAGTGTTATAACATTCACAATTCAGTGTCATAACATTCATGATTCAGTGTCATAACATTCACAATTCAGTGTCATAACATTCACGATTCAGTTTCATAACATTCACAATTCAGTTTCATAACATTCACAATTCAGTTTCATAACATTCACAATTCAGTGTCATAACATTCACAATTCAGTTTCATAACATTCACAATTCAGTGTCATAACATTCACAATTCAGTTTCATAACATTCACAATTCAGTGTTATAACATTCACGATTCAGTGTCATAACATTCACGATTCAGTGTCATAACATTCACGATTCAGTGTCATAACATTCACGATTCAGTTTCATAACATTCACGATTCAGTGTCATAACATTCATGATTCAGTGTCATAACATTCACAATTCAGTGTCATAACATTCACGATTCAGTGTCATAACATTCATGATTCAGTTTCACAACATTCACAATTCAGTTTCACAACATTCACAATTCAGTGTCATAACATTCACGATTCAGTGTCATAACATTCACGATTCAGTGTTATAACATTCACGATTCAGTGTTATAACATTCACGATTCAGTGTCATAACATTCACAATTCAGTTTCATAACATTCACAATTCAGTGTTATAACATTCACAATTCAGTGTTATAACATTCACAATTCAGTTTCATAACATTCACGATTCAGTGTCATAACATTCACGATTCAGTGTTATAACATTCACGATTCAGTGTTATAACATTCACGATTCAGTGTCATAACATTCACAATTCAGTTTCATAACATTCACAATTCAGTGTCATAACATTCACAATTCAGTTTCATAACATTCACAATTCAGTTTCATAACATTCACAATTCAGTTTCATAACATTCACGATTCAGTGTTATAACATTCACGATTCAGTGTCATAACATTCACAATTCAGTTTCATAACATTCACGATTCAGTTTCATAACATTCACGATTCAGTGTTATAACATTCACGATTCAGTGTCATAACATTCACGATTCAGTGTTATAACATTCACGATTCAGTGTTATAACATTCACGATTCAGTGTTATAACATTCACGATTCAGTTTCATAACATTCACGATTCAGTTTCATAACATTCACAATTCAGTTTCATAACATTCACAATTCAGTTTCATAACATTCACAATTCAGTTTCATAACATTCACAATTCAGTTTCATAACATTCACAATTCAGTTTCATAACATTCACAATTCAGTTTCATAACATTCACAATTCAGTGTTATAACATTCACGATTCAGTGTTATAACATTCACAATTCAGTTTCATAACATTCACAATTCAGTTTCATAACATTCACAATTCAGTTTCATAACATTCACAATTCAGTTTCATAACATTCACGATTCAGTTTCATAACATTCACGATTCAGTGTTATAACATTCACGATTCAGTGTCATAACATTCACGATTCAGTTTCATAACATTCACGATTCAGTGTTATAACATTCACGATTCAGTTTCATAACATTCACGATTCAGTGTCATAACATTCACGATTCAGTGTTATAACATTCACAATTCAGTTTCATAACATTCACAATTCAGTTTCATAACATTCACAATTCAGTGTCATAACATTCACAATTCAGTGTCATAACATTCACGATTCAGTGTTATAACATTCACAATTCAGTTTCACAACATTCACAATTCAGTTTCTATAGCACTTATACAATACAGATTTACATAGCAGCTTCACAGTAAGTGATATCAGCTCTTACATGACGTGTGTGTGTGTGTGTGTGTGTTCAGGCTCCTGTGGCTCACAGTCACATGACACCCAGTCCGGCTCCGCCCCCTCATATCCTGTACAATCCCAGTCAACACATGCTCTCCTACACCGGCTTCTGCCCGTCGGGACAAACGCTCCCCGCGTACCCGAACTACTCTCTGCCCATGCAGGTGAGCGTCTCTGTTACCGCGGTAATGCTTCTACACATCAGCATGGAATATTGATTAGAGTGGGAATGGTTTTCATTAGATACAGAATGACATCACTGGTCAATCGCAAACACTGAGACTAAATTATTTCAAATGTCAAATTCTATTTTATTTGTATTGTGTAGTGCTTTTCACAACACACTTCCTTTCAAAGCAGCTTTAAAGAAAGTCATACTGTTATGCCTATGATGGAGTAATCCGTAATCTATTAACCGATTTAAACGTCGGATGTTTTTTTTTTCGTTTACAGATTTAAACGTCGGATGTTTTTTGTTTCTTTCCATTAACAGATTTAAACGTCGGATGGGTTTTTTTCGTTAACAGATTTAAACATCGGATGTTTTTTTTTCATTAACAGATTTAAACGTCGGATGGGTTTTTTTCATTAACAGATTTAAACGTCGGATGGGTTTTTTTCGTTAAGAGATTTAAACGTCGGATGTTTTTTTTCCGTTAACAGATTTAAACGTCGGATTTTTTTTTTTCGTTAACAGATTTAAACGTCGGACTTTTTTTTCTTTAACAGATTTAAACGTCGGATGTTTTTTCCATTAACAGATTTAAACGTCGGATGTTTTTTTCCATTAACAGATTTAAACATTGGATGTTTTTTGTTTTTTTTCCGTTAACAGATTTAAACGTCGGATGGTTTTTTTCCGTTAACAGATTTAAACGTCGGATGTTTTTTTTCCGTTAACCGATTTAAACGTCGGATGTTTTTTTCCATTAACCGATTTAAACGTCGGATGTTTTTTGTTTTTTTCCTTTAACAGATTTAAACGTCGGATCTTTTTTTTTTCGTTAACAGATTTAAACGTCGGATTTTTTTTGTTCGTTTACAGATAGAAATGTTGGATGGTTTTTTTCCGTTAACAGATTTAAACATTGGATGTTTTTTTCTTCCGTTAACCGATTTAAACGTCGGATGTTTTTTTTCCGTTAACTGATTTAAACGTCGGATGGTTTTTTTTCGTTAACCGATTTAAACGTCGGACGTTTTTTGTTTTTTTCCGTTAACAGATTTAAACGTCGGATGTTTTTTTTCCGTTAACCGATTTAAACGTCGGATGTTTTTTTCCACTAACAGATTTAAACGTCGGATGTTTTTTGTTTTTTTTCCTTAACAGATTTAAACGTCTGATTTTTTTGTTCGTTTACAGATTTAAATGTCGGATGGTTTTTTCCTGTTAACCGATTTAAACGTCGGATGTTTTTTTTTCGTTAACCGATTTAAACGTCGGATTTTTTTTGTTCGTTTACAGATTTAAATGTCGGATGGTTTTTTCCCGTTAACCGATTTAAACGTCGGATGTTTTTTTTTTCTTTAACCGATTTGAACGTCGGATTTTTTTTTCTTTAACCGATTTAAACGTCGGATGTTTTTTTTTTTTTCGTTAACAGATTTAAACGTCTGATTTTTTTTGTTCGTTTACAGATTTAAATGTCGGATGGTTTTTTCCTGTTAACAGATTTAAACGTCGGATGTTTTTTTTTCGTTAACCGATTTAAACGTCGGATTTTTTTTGTTCGTTTACAGATTTAAATGTCGGATGTTTTTTTCCCGTCTACCGATTTAAACGTCGGATGTTTTTTTTTCTTTAGCCGATTTAAACGTCGGATTTTTTTTTCTTTAACCGATTTAAACGTCGGATGTTTTTTTTTTTTTTTCGTTAACAGATTTAAATGTTGGATGTTTTTGTTTTTTTCTTTAACAGATTTAAACGTCAGATTTTTTTTTTCGTTTACAGATTTAAACGTCGGATGGTTTTTTTCGTTAACCGATTTAAACGTTGGATTTTTTTTCCATTAACAGATTTAAACGTCTAATGTTTTTTTTGTTTTTTTTTGTTAACAGATTTAAACGTCGGATGTTTTTTTTTTTTCTTTAACCGATTTAAACGTCGGATGTTTTTTTCCATTAACAGATTTAAACGTCGGATGTTTTTTTTCATTAACAGATTTAAACGTCGGATGTTTTTTTTCCGTTAACCGATTTAAACGTCGAATGTTTTTTTCCACTAACAGATTTAAACGTCGGATGTTTTTTGTTTTTTTTCGTTAACAGATTTAAACGTCTGATTTTTTTTGTTCGTTTACAGATTTAAATGTCGGATGGTTTTTTCCTGTTAACAGATTTAAACGTCGGATGTTTTTTTTTCGTTAACCGATTTAAACGTCGGATTTTTTTTGTTCGTTTACAGATTTAAATGTCGGATGGTTTTTTCCCGTTAACCGATTTAAACGTCGGATGTTTTTTTTTCGTTAACAGATTTAAACATCGGATGGTTTTTTTTCATTAACAGATTTAAACGTGGGATGGGTTTTTTTCATTAACAGATTTAAACGTCGGATGGGTTTTTTTCGTTAAGAGATTTAAACGTCGGATGTTTTTTTTCCGTTAACAGATTTAAACGTCGGATTTTTTTTTTTCGTTAACAGATTTAAACGTCGGACTTTTTTTTCTTTAACAGATTTAAACGTCGGATGTTTTTTCCATTAACAGATTTAAACGTCGGATGTTTTTTTTTCTTTAACCGATTTAAACGTCGGATGTTTTTGTTTTTTCCGTTAACAGATTTAAATGTTGGATGTTTTTTGTCTTTAACAGATTTAAACGTCGGATGTTTTTTGTTTCTTTCCATTAACAGATTTAAACGTCGGATGGTTTTTTTTCGTTAACAGATTTAAACATCGGATGGTTTTTTTTCATTAACAGATTTAAACGTCGGATGGGTTTTTTTCATTAACAGATTTAAACGTCGGATGTTTTTTTTTCTTTAACCGATTTAAACGTCGGATTTTTTTTCTTTAACCGATTTAAACGTCGGATGTTTTTGTTTTTTCCGTTAACAGATTTAAATGTTGGATGTTTTTTGTCTTTAACAGATTTAAACGTCGGATGTTTTTTTTTTCGTTAACAGATTTAAACGTCGGACTTTTTTTTCTTTAACAGATTTAAACGTCGGATGTTTTTTCCATTAACAGATTTAAACGTCGGATGTTTTTTTTTCTTTAACCGATTTAAACGTCGGATTTTTTTTCTTTAACCGATTTAAACGTCGGATGTTTTTGTTTTTTCCGTTAACAGATTTAAATGTTGGATGTTTTTTGTCTTTAACAGATTTAAACGTCGGATGTTTTTTGTTTCTTTCCATTAACAGATTTAAACGTCGGATGGGTTTTTTTCGTTAACAGATTTAAACATCGGATGTTTTTTTTTCATTAACAGATTTAAACGTCGGATGGGTTTTTTTCATTAACAGATTTAAACGTCGGATGTTTTTTTTCCGTTAACAGATTTAAACGTCGGACTTTTTTTTCTTTAACAGATTTAAACGTCGGATGTTTTTTCCATTAACAGATTTAAACGTCGGATGTTTTTTTTTCTTTAACCGATTTAAACGTCGGATTTTTTTTTCTTTAACCGATTTAAACGTCGGATGTTTTTGTTTTTTCCGTTAACAGATTTAAATGTTGGATGTTTTTTGTCTTTAACAGATTTAAACGTCGGATGTTTTTTGTTCCTTTTCATTAACAGATTTAAACGTCGGATGGTTTTTTTTCGTTAACAGATTTAAACATCGGATGGTTTTTTTTCATTAACAGATTTAAACGTCGGATGGGTTTTTTTCATTAACAGATTTAAACGTCGGATGGGTTTTTTTCGTTAAGAGATTTAAACGTCGGATGTTTTTTTTCCGTTAACAGATTTAAACGTCGGATTTTTTTTTTTTCCTTAACAGATTTAAACGTCGGACTTTTTTTTCTTTAACAGATTTAAACGTCGGATGTTTTTTCCATTAACAGATTTAAACGTCGGATGTTTTTTTCCATTAACAGATTTAAACATTGGATGTTTTTTGTTTTTTTTCCGTTAACAGATTTAAACGTCGGATCTTTTTTTTTTCGTTAACAGATTTAAACGTCGGATTTTTTTTGTTCGTTTACAGATAGAAATGTCGGATGGTTTTTTTCTGTTAAAAGATTTAAACATCGGATGTTTTTTTCTTCCGTTAACCGATTTAAACGTCGGATGTTTTTTTTTCGTTAACCGATTTAAACGTCGGATGGTTTTTTTTCCTTAACCGATTTAAACATCGGATTTTTTTTTCCAATAACAGATTTAAACGTCGGATGTTTTTTGTTTTTTTCCGTTAACAGATTTAAACGTCGGATGGTTTTTTTTCGTTAACAGATTTAAACATCGGATGGTTTTTTTTCATTAACAGATTTAAACGTCGGATGGGTTTTTTTCATTAACAGATTTAAACGTCGGATGTTTTTTTTTCTTTAACCGATTTAAACGTCGGATTTTTTTTCTTTAACCGATTTAAACGTCGGATGTTTTTGTTTTTTCCGTTAACAGATTTAAATGTTGGATGTTTTTTGTCTTTAACAGATTTAAACGTCGGATGTTTTTTTTTTCGTTAACAGATTTAAACGTCGGACTTTTTTTTCTTTAACAGATTTAAACGTCGGATGTTTTTTCCATTAACAGATTTAAACGTCGGATGTTTTTTTTTCTTTAACCGATTTAAACGTCGGATTTTTTTTCTTTAACCGATTTAAACGTCGGATGTTTTTGTTTTTTCCGTTAACAGATTTAAATGTTGGATGTTTTTTGTCTTTAACAGATTTAAACGTCGGATGTTTTTTGTTTCTTTCCATTAACAGATTTAAACGTCGGATGGGTTTTTTTCGTTAACAGATTTAAACATCGGATGTTTTTTTTTCATTAACAGATTTAAACGTCGGATGGGTTTTTTTCATTAACAGATTTAAACGTCGGATGTTTTTTTTCCGTTAACAGATTTAAACGTCGGATTTTTTTTTTTCGTTAACAGATTTAAACGTCGGACTTTTTTTTCTTTAACAGATTTAAACGTCGGATGTTTTTTCCATTAACAGATTTAAACGTCGGATGTTTTTTTTTCTTTAACCGATTTAAACGTCGGATTTTT